TTTTTTTTTTTTTAAAATAGGAAAACTCTCTTTAGGACACTGGGTTATGATGCACTTAAGTTCAGTTTTTACTTTTATATGTAAGTGTGAGTTGTGTCTTAAGTTCTTACTCATACATATGTGGGTAACCTTCCAGATACTAGTAGCCCCTCTCCTCCAGGCTTGATGGCCTAGATGTAGAATTTAAGACCAGAGATTGTTTTTCTTTAGTATTGTTAGGGATTGCTCTGCTGTTTTCTGGCCTCCACTGTCACTCTTGAGAAGTCTCATGCTGTTTTCATTCTTCGTCTTTTGCATGTGCCATTTTCTTTTCTGGTAGCGTTTGGAATCTTCTCTTTACACCCAAATGCCCTGTGAGTCCACAATGCTGTGTGTTGAAGGGGCCTCTTTATTCATTTTACTGGTATTTTGTAGGTCTTTCAATCTGGAAAATTCTTAATATGAGGAAATTTTCTTAGATAGTAATTTCCTTCCCTTCATTTTCTCTTTCTGGCACCTGTTATTCAGATATTGGACATGATTTTTTCTTTTCTTTTCTCTCTTCTTTCTCCTCCTATTTTCTGTCTTTTTGTTTTAACTTGGTTTTTATCATTTACTTCCCTCTGTTTTTTAAAAAAATCGCTATAATATTTTTAATTTCTAAGAACTTTTTTTTTAATGCTGTAAACTCATTTTATATGGTATCCCATTCTTACTTCATGGAGGGAATGTTTTATCTATTTGAAGAGACAGTTTTTAAAATATAAATATTTATGTGGTTATATGTGTATAAAATCCTGTTTTGACTATGGCACCCTTGGTCTTAGGGTATCTGATGAGCCTTTGGAGACAAAACCTCCATTTATTCTTTTAGGAGAGAAATATTTATGTCACTATGTAAGTTTTAAGAAGAACCTAAGGGGGTCCAGCTGTTTTGCAAAAGACTTTTAACCTGTTTCCTGGTTCATCTGGCCTTCACTACAGCTTGTTGTGAGACTCAGTACTCCCAAACCCCACACCATGAGGGGCAGAAAATGGTTGCTTCTTGTTTCACTCCTCTGCTGGCTTAAGAATTCAACTTGCTTGAACTACACACCTCATTCCCCTTTGATTTGCCTTCCACTTTCCAAAATTTTGTTGCTGTTTTCTTGTCTTACATGTCTTTGTCCTCTGGGTTTATGTCATTTTTATAAATGTGTATATCCAGTCATCTCTAAACAGGAGCCTACTATGTTTATTTAATGTTAGATCAGTATTACTGAAAAGAATTCTAGGAAGTTATTCATAGTTTGTTTTTATACTTGCAGTGTACAATATATATTAATGAGGGCTCTTTGATAGTAATTTCTACTGAAATATAAAACTTAATAAAATTTCTGATCATCTACTTTCTTTAAGGGTTTACTGTAATGTCTTAGTTTGTTTTGTGCTGCTCTGTTAGAAAACATGACACTGAGTAATTTATCATTAACAGAAATTTATTGACTCATGGTTCTGGAGGCTGGGAAATGCAAGCTAGAGGAACCGTCATTTGGTAAGGGCCTTCTTGCTGCATCATCCTGTGGCAAAGGGCAAAGAGGAGGCAGGAGAAAAAGGAAAAGGGAGCAAACACTCCACTTCTGGGCCAATGGCATCAGTCTGTTCTTGAAGGTGGATCCTAAACAGCTCTGGAAGGTCCCACCTCCTCATGGCATCTCAATGGCAATTCACTCCTGATATGAATTTTGGAAGAGACAGACATGATGTTTGGTGATTTTGAAGGATAAATTCTTGTGCTTTTCTTTTTCTTTCTCTCTCTCTCTCTCTCTTTTTTTTTTAAGCGGGGAAAGCAAGGATGAATGATTTCCAGTTACCTCAACATGAAGGCTTTCATGATGAAGGTATTTCAATCTCATAACATATAAGATAAAAATACAGGTTCTTTTATATGATAGTTTATATATTCGATTAGCACTTTACTGCCTACAAAGTATTTCCACAGATGTTTCTTTCATTAGATTCTTGAAACAGTGTTGAGGATGAAATTATCCCCTTTTTACAAATAAGTAACAGGGGTCAAGTGGTGAATAGTATTCTTTATGGCAAACAGGTGATAAGAGGTTGCACCTTACACACACACAGCAGGTGCTCTTTCTGTTCTTCTACTCTGTCTAGCTCTGGACTTTGGAATTTGGCCTAGTATTACATCCATATTTTTTCAAATGCCTGCATATTGTCAATTTTCAGTTCTTGAAAAATATTTATATCACTAGGGAAAATGGACTTTTTTCTCCTGTGCAGTTTCCATTCTGACAGATTCATTGGCAGGAAGAATTTTGAATCCTTAGGTGAATAATTGAAATCATTGTATTGATTCATCCTAAGAAGTGTGGAATAACTGAATTTGTAAATTTTGAATTGGGAAATAAATTTGAACTTAATACATTATATTTTAGATTACATATGTTAAAGTTTTTTCTTCCTTTAGTAATTTTGAAACTTTTTTTTTTTTTTTAGTTATTTATGAGCTAGAAATCAAATAGTTATGTTTTAAAATGCAAAATATTTGGCAACTTTGAATCACATTATCTTTTCTTTTTAATAGAGAACAGTGCTTATAAATAAACATTATAGATTTGCTTACTCAGAAATGAGGAATTTCAGCAATGAGGAAGAATATTCAAACATTATTTCTGTACTTAGTGAGATTGTTTTAGAAATACGATATAAGAATGATGTTAATATATGGCTTTTGATTTTAAAAAAGTTAATTTTTTTTTTTTTTTTTTTGCCCCAAATAGCTGTGCTTTTGAAAGTAGGACAAAACGGTGTCATGATGAATTGTTTCCAAGTAATACTGAAATCATTGGCTGTGTTTAATTAATGACATTATGGGATTTCAGGAAAGGGAAAAAAATGCTCATTTCAGATTAAAATGTTTGATATCTATGTAAAGATAAATTTGGAGAATTACCATGAAAATGTTAAAATCTTACATTTAATAGATTACTATTTTTTTTCTGATAGACCCAACATTGATATAATTATAAGGCTCGATGTTTTTAATTTTCTGTTAATGTTATATAAAACATCATATTTATTCAGGAGGTATTTTTGTACAGAACATAATCATGGGATTTTTTTTTTTCATTACAGATGAGGACAGATTGTCTGAGATTTCTGCTCGCTCTGCTGCGTCTAGCCTTCGGGCTTTTCAAACTCTGGCACGAGCTCAGAAAAGGAAGGAGAATTTCTGGGGCAAAGCATAAACCTTGTTTTTATCTAGGGAACCACTGGCATAATTTTTCTTTATTGCTCACTGTGTTTAGATTTTTTGAGTATCTGAATTTTCTTCTGACATTTCCAGCTTAAGTGAGTTGATTTGTCAATATTCATTTTACTTGGAAAATTTTAACACGTGCTTATACAAATTTAGCTCTTAAAAATTCTTTTACATCAATCCCAAAATTCGAAGACATAGATTATATAGTTCTTCACATGTTCTGTCATTTGTGTTAGATGTCAAGGATTGCTGGTGAATTATGACTTTCACCCATCCAGAGAATAAGCTAAAGAAATAAAGTGAAAATTAAGATTCCAGTATGGAGTACACATTCCCCTAAGATTGGTTTTATGTGTCTTTATAATTGTAGATGTTGTAAAATGAATTTGTTGTCCTTTTAACTTTTGTTTTAGTGTTTCTATATGTGGTTGCAGTGTTATTTAAGGTAATTGTACTTTGAAAATACCAGCTGTATATATTTTTCTTATTTATATGACAAAGTTTGCTGAGAGAATATGTATATTTTTGATCTTTGTGTGTATTCTATTTGTATAACAACTTTGGCTTACATTTAATAATGTCTGGGTTTTGAAAAATTATTTGTATAATGGAGAATTATAACTTTGTAGACATTTTGAAATAAAAATTGATCAAGTGTGTTTGGCTTCTTCAGAAAGTTAATACGTGGAATGAACAACTATCTTTTAGAAATATTCTACTTGTCACAGGTTAATCAAAAGTTTTACTTCTTTCTCAGCTGTCTAAATGTAATGAAGCTGAATCTATAATACATTTTCACAAATGTAGGAAAATTTAGAATTTTCAAAGCAGACTCATTTTTTAAACATTTAACACAGCTTTTTGAATCTATTACTCCACTTACTGGACATGTTCAGTTGTCTTATTTATCTTATAAATCATGATAAATTTAAGTTTCTAAAAATGTGGATTTTATAAAATCTTTACAATATTACATAAAAAGTATGAAAGACAAAATATACAGAATATTAATGTCCATTGGATAGGAAACAGTCTGTTCTAAAGTGCTTAATTTGGTCAAAAGTGCTTTTACAATCGCTGGTTCACAGTAACTTAGTCTTATATTGTGAAGTTGTAAAGAATTGTAGATATACAGATTGCCATCATTACACTAACCTTTTAAAATAATTTGTTTATAAATAAGTTTATCGAGGCATTAAACATGGAATTAAAGCTTGGGCTTGGGGAATAGCTGGCTTTGAGAACAAAAATTAGCTTTATACAAATGTTTTCTGAGGGCATAATAGTTGTAATATAAGTTTGGAACTTACTGTCCCTCTAGAAGCTTAAAGGCATCAATCATTTTCTTCCTCCTTAAATGTTGGTTGGTTTGGTTATTTGGGACAATTTTTAATGGCTGACCACTAATACATAGTAAAGAAAGAGATTATAGCTAGATTTCTGTGAACTGCATAATTTATAGTCTATGTTACAAAAAGTACAGACTGTAATATCTGAGTTTACCCATTACAGTGAATCATGGCACATGAACTTGATCTACCAGATGTCAATTAGAATAGGAGGCTATGATTCTTCTGGAGCCAATGTTGTGACCTTACTCTGTGTGATGATTTAGTTCTGCAGCAACCTACTGGCCACCTGTTGTCTTAAAACTACCCAGAGGACCAGGGGAGAGAATAGTGTTGAGGGATCATTACTGTTCATCTCTTATACTAGAAGAGCAATATGAATGATAGGAATTTGAGTTGGTGGGTAAATAGTCTAAGTTAAATGAGACCTGTCCCATGAGTTGTGCTAGTATTTAGGAGCTGAGATCACTAATTCAACTTTTATCAGTTATTAAGGCAAGTGTTGATGTATTACAAACTGAAATTATTAAGAAAAATTATAGCTTAATAAGTGTGCACAGCTGTATATATTTGTGAAGCCAACACCACAGTGAAGATATATTTCTATCACCCTTACAGGATCCTCATTTTCCTTAGCAGTCAAATTTGTTCCATCCCTTGTCCCCAAGGCAGTCACTAATCTGTTTTCTGTTGATAATTTTAGTTTGGGAAAAAATTTATATCAATGAAATCGTCTTTTATATCTGTCTTTTACTTAACAGTATTTTTGAAAGTCATTCATGTTTTGGTGTACATGTTCCCTTTTAATTTATTCTTCCCAGTGGTGGACTTTTAGATTGTTTGCAATTTGGAACTCTAATGAATAAAGCTGTTAATTCCTATTTGTATGCAATCCTTTGTGTTGACATAAGATTTCATTTCTCTTTGGGAAATGCCTAGGAAATTCAATCTCTATTCTCTTTTAATATAACTTCTACTTGAATATATGTATACAGGTACAGTATACTCACATCAATATTATGAACTCATAGCTTGGTCTTTTTGTCTAAATATCTCAAAAGTCAGACTGAGGATGAACATCAAAATCACAATAGGAGGGTTTTCCCGCCCCCATCTTTACCCCAGATGCTGATATTCTCAGTTTCCTGATTGAGAACCCAGATTAAAATGCACAGATGTACATACATACATGAGAGATTTTGCATGTAAATTTTTTGTCTCATCTATGGATTCCTATAGGAGTCTGAATTCCAAGCTAAGAATTCTGGAAGGATGATGCTGAGAATTAAGGATAAAGAACATGATAATACATGGTAGGAAAAGTTATAATACGAATTAAGCATAAATATTTTATATATGGAAAAACAGACTAAATGATGGGACCAATGTTCTTACTTGAAATTCACCCACACCACCTCTTCTGGTGTGTTTATGCTAAAATTTAAGACCCACCGTGACTCATTTCTCTTGGTTGATTTATCTGGGAATTAAATTCCCACTTTGCCTTCGTGGAAGATAAATATCTTTTCTAGTCAGGAAAGCAGAGAATGTGATCATTGAATTGTTGCACAAATGGATTCAACCAGTGAAAGTAAATTAACATGAAATAAGTTTATCCTTACATAGAGCAGTGCTGAGGTTGGCTACTTAAGGAGCTCAAGGATAAATTGTTTCTTTGTTGCAGTTTTATATTGATAGACATTCAAAAATATTCTGACTCCTGGAAGTTTATCAAAAGAATAAATATTCTAAAATGGTAGTTATCCTAGAAACATTTACATTTGGTTCTGGAATATGCTTTTGGTACTAGTACATGTGGTGGGTAGTTGTCATGTTAATGCGCTTTTAGGTGTTTGTCAAACTGCCATAATCACTCCATTTCCCAAGGTGATTTTGTTGTACAAAGGCTACTCTAGGCAAAAGAACAGTCTCTGCCATTGGACAGTAAGGGTCATGCCCCACTGGTCATAGCTTGTGCCTCCAGTTTACCTCATGGATTAAAAGTAGGTCAGTGTCTCTTCAGCTCTGTTTAGTGGATTTTTGGGCTAGTGTTGACCTTGATGTCTAAATGTGTCTTTTTCTTATAATGACTGGAAGCACAGAGACACAGCCCTTGGTTCTTAGGCATAGAGCTAAGCTTCCATAAGTCTCATTTTATGCTTCATTCCCATAAATGTGTTTCAAACATGGGGCAGCTTGCACATGGCAGGTGGGGTGCAAGAGCCATCCTTGAAAGATGGTACCCATTTCTCTTCCACCAAGGACTCTATTCATCATCATGGCTTTGTTGTGCCCCAGACCTCTATCAGAGCATTTCCTTGGAAATTGAGTGAGAAATGAGGACCTGGGGGAACTGAGCCACTTTTGGAAGTCATAGTCTAAAGCCAATCTGTAGGTAAAATGATATTTGATGAGTTCACATAAATTCAAACCACATATTGGATGATTTAGGTAATGCTGGGAATTATTCGATTCCCCCCTGTATATTCTATACCCAATAGCTTGCTGGAGCTGGCTCATGGGCCCACTGTTAAATATTCAGGGGTTTTGTGAGCTGGTTGTTGAATCATCAATAGTTTGGCCACAGTGGGAGTATTTACATCACTGAAATCAGCAAGCACTATAATTCAGGGCTGTTCCTGGTTATGCACCACAGACAATTGATAAGCCCATTTCTATAGCCATGGAATCAGTCTCTCTTAATCTTTTGTCTGACAGAGAAAACAATCTACTTCAGAAAGGAAACAAGAGGCAGCTCAAGATAAGTTACCAAAAGAGTTATACCATTTACATCTTTCTTGGCTTATACAAAATATAGTTTGGTTTAGTTTCCTTTCTTGACTGAAATTAATCTAGATTTTTTTTTTTAAGTCACAAATAGCAGGTAATGAATATATAGAGGGAGACTATCCATGATAGATCTGTGGAACAGCCCTGAGATGGGGCCTAAGAATCGATGTATAATATTCCAGGTAATTCCCAGGTGATTCTGATAGTCAAGTAGTTTAGAAAACATTGACTTTGGGGTTATAATAACCTATGGTTTAATTCCAACTCCTCCTTGAGCAAGTCTGTTGAGCTTCTTGAGCTCGTGTTTCTCATTTTACAGATAAGGAGAATAGCTTACCAATTTAGTTCTAGGATTAAAGAGCATTAAAGTTCTTCAGGCATGCCATTCAAATGTTTACTTAATCCAAAATATTAGTTTTATTATGTTGGGAAATTTTTATTAAAACAACAGTGAACTAAGACTTGTTCTAGTGAGGGTAAGGTTAAATCAAGAAAGCAGAAGCAAAGTGTGGGGAAATCGTGGCTTCTCTCATCACAGACCTCTTTTATGACCTACATTTAGCTCACAGAAGCAGTTTTGGGTAAGGGTGCAGAAATTATCTATTTCCTTTATGTGGTGAAGCAAAAAAGATTCTGGCTGCTCTGTTGTGACTCAGCGATTCTAGAAGGTGGAATCAATTACCTGATATATGCTAACCATATTAGTGTAACCATGAATTGGAAATGTTATCAGGTTTGAGTCAGGAAATGCAGAGATAAAGGACCCACGATAATTACTGATGAAAGATAGACAAGGTTGGTCCCTGAATAAATATATATCCAATATCAAAGATTTCCTATATTTGCTGCAAGTTATTTCTCTTCCAAGGTGAATTAAATAAAACAATTTTATAATTTCAAGAAAATGAAAAATCACCTAAAAGTATACATTATAGGAAAATGTAGACGCTTTATACTCGTAACTTCAATTATAATCAGTCTGGACATCTCAGGAAAATTTTGCCTACAATGAATACTTTAGAATTCAATGTTCCCGTTAAAAAATTATTCAGGTCAAATGGTGAACTGGGGAAACCAATAACAAAATTGAAAATAGGTTGTGTAAAAATACTAACACTCTAGTTCCACAAAGAACTGATAGTGCTACAAAGTTTACCCCGTAATTTTGCAAAGATGAAACATCCAAAGAGCTTTAGAGAACAAATACCTGGCCTAACAAATGCCCTAGCAAGCTCATTTGAATTAATTTCTGTGAATCATGACTGCCAAGTCTTTAAGAATATTATGAATCAATGTTCTAAGAACACACCAGTTTCTTTTATCAGAATCAAAATTATGGGAACTCGCAAAATTCTGTTCACATTTATTTTATAATTCAAGTATAAAAATATGTAATTGTAAAGACTAATATATCAACATGTGAATTCTTCAATAAACTTAATGATATAAGAAGAGTAAAACAGCAATGTGAATATTTTTTGATTGGAGAAGTTTCTAGAAAGACTGATAATCCTCATTAT